AGATACTTTTTCTTAATGGTTTTGTTTTTGGTCTGTGTTTTCTTTCACAGAATGATTTCATATGGAAATGTGTTTTGTATGACTACACATGTATAACCTACATCAAATTGCTTGCCTTCTCAATGGGGTGGGAGGAGGGAGAGAATTTGGAACTCAAAATGTGGAAAAAAAAAAAGAATGTTAAAATTGTTTTTACATGTAATTAGGAAAAAAATATTAAATAAGATTAACACAACTCTATTAGTCTCTGCCCTGTACTCCAAGGCCAAACTTGCCTGTTATTCTAATTATGTTTTGATTTCCTTTTGTAGCATTCCAAACCCCTATGATGAATGCGACATCTCTTTTCTGGCGCTATTTTTAGAAGATGTTGTAGGTCTTCATAGTACTGATCAACTTTGGCCTCTTTGGCATCAGTGGTTGGAGCATAGACTTGTATTGCTGTGATGTTGAATGGTTTGCTTTGGATTTGAAGAGATATCATTTGGTAATTTTTGAGATTATACCCCATTACTGCTTTTCTTACCCTTCTATTGAGTATAAGGGCTACTCCATTTTTTCTAAGGGATTCTTTTTTTTTATTTTTAGTTTTCGATATTCACTTCCACAAGATTTTGAGTTTCAAATTTTCTTCCCACCTCATCCCTCCCCCCACCCCAAGATGGCATGCATTCTGAATACCCCTTCCCCTAATCTGCCCTCCCTTCTATCTCTCCCCCCCCTTCTCTTACTTCTAAGGGATTCTTGCCCATAGTAGTATATATAATACTATAACAATCTGAATTCAATCCACCTATTTCCATTCATTTTAGTTCACTAACACCCAAGTTGTCAATATTTACTCTTTCCATTGCCTGCTTGAACATATCCAGCTTACTTTGGATCATGGATCTTACAATTCCAGGTCCCTATGCAACTACTGGTTTTTGCAGCATCAGACTTTCCTTTAGTCACCACATGCATCCAGAGCTGGGCTTCCTTTAGGAAGTCAGTTCATTAGTACTGGAGCCACTTGTAGTTGTCCTCTGATCTTAAGAAGCTTTTTTTTTTAAATATCCATATTAGTCATGTTGTTAAAGAAAACACAGACAAAAAAAAACTGAAGAAAAATAAAGAAAGTATGCTTCAATCTGTATTCAGACACCATCAGTTCTTCCTCTGGGGATGGACAGCATTTTTCCGCATAAGTCCTTCAGAGTTGTCTTGGATCACTATATTGCTGAGAAGAGCATTCACAGCTGATCATCTTACAATATTGCCATTACTTTGTACACAGTACGTATCACTTTGCATCAGCTTCTGTAAGTCTTTCTAGGTTTTTCTGAGAGCATCCTGCTCATTATTCTTAAGAAGCATTTTGATAAGGGTGAAAGAAGAGAGTATAAAAGAGGGCTTGAAGCTTAACCAAAAAAAAAAAAAGATCATGGCAACTTATCACTTTCTGGCAAACAGAAAGAGAAGAAATGGAAACAGTGTCAGATTTTATACTTTTAGGCTCAAAGGTCACTGTAGACAGCAAGGACAGCCATAAAACTGAAAGATGCTTACTCCTTAAAAGGAAAGCTATGGCAAATCTGAACAGCATAACTTAAAAGCTATGGTTTTTCTAGTACCAATGAATGGCTGTGAGAGTTGGACTATAAGGAAAGCTGAGCACCCCAAAATTGTTGCTTTCGAATTGTGGTGCCAGAGAAGACTTTTGAGAGTCCCTTGGACAGCAAGGAAATTAAATGAGTCAATACTTAAAAGAAATTAATTCAGGCTAGTCACTGGAAGGTCAAATACTGAAGCCAAAGCTTAAATACTTTGGCCATATAATGAGAAGGCTGGACTCACTGGAAAAGACCCTGATGTTGGGAAAGATTGAATGTAAAAAGAAAAGATGATGGCAGAGGATGAGATGGACAGATAGTATCATGGAAACAACAAATATCAACTTGGACAGATTTTGAAAGATAGTGGAAGATAGAAGGGTCTGCGGTACTATGGTCCATGGGATCATGAAAAGTCCGACATGACTGAACAACAACAATAATTTTTCAGAACCTCTCTCAATTATATGACATAGAATCATAACAATACATGATCTCTGGCCCAGAGGACATAAAAGCCCTATTGGATTGGCCATGTCAAACTCTGAGCTTTTCTAGGATTTTGTGGCTATTACCACAAATTTGTTAAGAACTATGCTGCTATTCTCTTTTTGTGGTGGCAAAGAATTGGACATTGAGGGGATGCCAATCAATTGGGGAATAGCTGAACAAATTGTGGTACATGATTATGACAGAATACCATTTGTGCTATAAGAAATGATGAGCAGGATGCTTTCAGAAAAACGTGGAAAGACTTACATGAAGTGATAAAAAGTGAAGTAAGTTGAGCGAGGAGAACATTGTACATGGTAACAGCAATATTGTATGAGGATCAGCTGGGCATGCCCTAGCTATTCTCAGTAATCCAAAGATCCAGGGGTGGCTAGGTGGCGCAGTGGATAGAGCACCGGCCCTGAAGTCAGAAGGACCTGAGTTCAAATCTGGCCTCAGACCAAACATTTGACATTTGCTACGTGTGTGACCCTGGGCAAATCACTTAACCCCAATTGCCTAAAAAAAAAAAAATCTTTCAAAAAATCAAAAGTGAATGTTGCAAAATTATAAAGAACAGACATGCCTCAAAAAAAGAGATATGCCAAGATATTCTCATCCAGCCTTTTACAGGTGCAGGAAGTCCACAAGTATGGTACATTACACATATTTTCAGGGTTTTTCTGATGTATTGGTCAGTTGTGCTGATTTTTCCTTCTTTTCTTTAAAAATATTGTTACATGGGATAGCTCTCTAGGGGGTAAAGGGGGAAGGGCATTGGGGGAAATTATGGTGATGTAAAAAAACAAATAAAATCTTATTTTAAAAATGTGAGCTACTGGAGATCAGATACTGTTTTCCTCTTTCTCTATTCCTAGTAGTGGGTAACTGTGATGATTTGGGTCCCATCCACTACCCCACTGCTATCTCTCCATCTTTGGATGTCACGGTGTTTTCCACTTAGTCAATGCTTAAATGCTTTTTGGTTCATTCATTTTGAACTGAGTGAGAATGATTTCCCGCGGCCACCGGCCACGTGATCTGTGGAGCTGCTCAGATCAGGATGGGTGGGGAGAATGCTGTTGGTCACATGCCAATGAGAGGTGGACAAGCTAAGACTGTCCGGAGGAGCAAAACTGATTGGGGCTGAAACAGCAGAGGGTAGTTGTCATGATGATCTTGGGTGCCCCGATATCCCTGGATCATTAGGGCTTTGCTACACCCCTCTACCCCTGGAGTTGGGGAACCACTTCTCATTCACCGGTTCATTACTCATTTCCTGTTTTCCCCTCAGATTCAGATTTGGGGTTGGGGGAGGGATGGAGAAAAGGTTTTTGTTTCTTCCTCGATTGCCAGTCAGCATTTTGGAAGTTTTATTTTTTTTTTTGTTTTCATGCCTACGCTATTTACAATTATGGAAAAACAACAAAGCTAGATGGCGAAAGGGGACAGAGGAGATTTTGGTGTTTGTTTTTTCTCCCCAGCATAGGCTTGTATGGGGGACTGAGATAATTAGAGATAGAGCCTTTACTATTCTTAATAGTTTTCAGGGTACATATGAATATGTTCAAGTTGTACCCCCTGGACCTTTTCCTTGAACCCAGGAGACAGAAAGACTGATAAGGAAAGCGTTGAAAAGTCACAGGTGGTGGGAAGGAGGGCGGGAGGAGGTTGGTGCTATTTTTTGCCTGAGGACACTTCGGCTGAATTGGCAGAGGTACTAAACTGTTGCTTAGCCTTGTTCGGTGCTGCAGAGGCCAACCCCTGCCCGGCGCTGCAGGAGGATAGCCACGCCCGGTCCTGCAGCGGGCTAGCCTCGCCCGGTGCTGAAGTCGCTGAGGCTTGCAGTAGTTAAGGAGGTTAGCTTTCCACGGCATGCAGGCACACACAATAGAGCCCTAGTTTCTCAAGGACACCGCGCCATTCGACACACGCCCCTGCACCACCGCGGCATGCGACTAGCCAAAGCGCAGCAAGGTCCGGGTTAGCGTGAGTAACTTATCTGGTGAAGTGATGGCATTGAATTGAGCTACGGGGAGACCTGAGGATGCAAGCATCTATTTGAACCGCCACACCCCAACAGTCCTAGGACAGGGCAAGCCCACGCCTCAGAACTTCAAACGCTGTTAGGTGACGTCATAGGGTAGTGCAAAAGAGAACAGAGCGATGTGCCCCACGTGGGAACATCAAGATAGAGAAGCAACCCCTTGCCTTTAACCTATAAGCCTAGGAAACTACAATCCCCAGAAGCCTCCGCGAGCCCTGTCCTTCCTTCACCTTTCATCCACCCTCTGTAGCATGGCAACGGCGTGACGTGACCCGGGGGACCCGAATTGGAGCTGCCGCGGTCGCCGGCTTCAGTCTCAGTCAAGCGGGCTGACCGGGAGGAGTGGTTGCGAAGCAGAGCCCCCTGCCCTTCTAGGCCTGATCCCCCTCCGGGGCTTCTCCCCGACCAGGCTGCCGCTCCCAGCCTGCAGGGGTGGGGAGGGCAAGACGGCGGCTTGAGGAGAGGGCGAAGAAGGCAGGACCGCGCAGCGCACAGCGCGCATGGCGTTGGCGGGCGCGCGGCGGCTCCCCGCTGGAACGCGCGCTGCAGCCCGGCGCTGCTGCTGCCTCAAGCAGGGCGCGCACCCCGCCCCGCCCCTGGGTCCTCTGAGAGCGCTGCAGCCAATGAGGTGAGGCCGCTCTCCCGTCTGAGCCGGAGCGGGTTGGGGGGACCGGTTGCGGTTGGGGGCCGGCCGCGGAGCTGCGATGCCTGTCACGCTGTGCTGCCGCCTCCCCGCGCGCCTGGTAGGCCCGACGGAACCGAGCGCGTCTCGCATGGTCCAGGCCCGGGGGACTCCGCTTCGGCCCCGCGCCTCAGCCCAGTTCCCCGGCCAGCACCCCGGCTCCTCCCCCGGCCCTGTCCTCAGCCGCCCCCGACCTTTAGCACTCGTGACCGCTTGGCAAGGGGGCCCGGCGGGTTGCAGCTGGTGCTGGTGCTAGGGGCGGGGAGCAGGGAGCTCGCCCAACTGACCTTCCCCCTGGGAAGACCCCCCTCATCCGGACCCGATGGCGGACAGGCATGTAGTTGATTCGACGGCGTTGCAGGGGCGCCCCGTGCTTTGCAAGCAGCTCCGCCTGGGCAGGCTGACGCTGCCTCCTTCCTCTCCCCCCCAGGCTCTTGTCTTCCTGCAGCCTCTTGCTGCCCAGAGCTGCCCAGGCCTTGGGGGCTGAGGCTGGGCTTTCCCACAGCCGTTCTTTTATGGGCTTCGCTTCCCCATTCATCAACAAGCGCAAGGCATACTCCGAACGCAGGATTATGGGGTGAGAATCCTCTGCCCTTCCCCTTGATCCCTGGTGTTAAAAAAAAATAGGGTACCCCACACTGATAGGTCGAAAGGTTTACTGTATCACCCACCATGGTCATGCTTTGCCTCCTGCTCACTCGGCATAACCTAATGATTCACTTCAAAGATCTGAGTACTAGCCACAGATCAGAAATACAAAGATTAAAGAATTGACCCTTCTAGAATCAAAGACCTTACAATAAATTATTCTGTTCTCACAGTTCCAGGCCACTGATGCCATTTTTCCTACTCCTGTTACCTTCAACCTCTACAAAATTATCAGTGGTCAAGACAGCACTGCCTTGCCACAAGACACCTGAATATTTCCCAGTGGCCTGAGGATTAAAGCAACCTTTTCCCAATTCTCAGTGCAGCATTGGCCTAATTTTTAATGTATTCTCTTGGTTTGGAATGGGGGGAATTTGCCATTATAATTTGGGAAGGTCAGCTGATCTCCATATTCCTGGGATGGATGGGTTGTGTAAAACATGTCTGTACACAGTCAATGGTAAGAATTAACAGGAGCTGGACCCCATACCTAGATCCTTGGCCCCTCTCTTTGAAACCCCCCTCCCCCCACCCCAATTGCCCCCCAGGTACTCAATGCAGGAGATGTATGAGGTGGTGTCCAATGTCCAGGAGTACAAGGAGTTTGTGCCTTGGTGTAAGAAGTCCTTAGTGGTGTCCAGCCGAAAAGGTTACCTGAAGGCCCAGTTGGAGGTTGGCTTCCCACCTGTTGTGGAACGTTACACTTCAGCTGTCTCCATGGTCAAGCCTCATATGGTCAAGGTAAGGTACTGCCCCATTCTTGATACCGTGATACTTGGGGGCGGGGCAGTAAGGGGACAAGTCATTTTCCTTCACTAATTTAAATTTACTACTTTATGTTTACTTTGTAATTTTCATTTCACATTTTGGGCTTTGCCCAGTGTTAACTATACATTGACTGACAACCCATCTTTTTACCAGGCTGTCTGCACTGATGGCAAACTCTTCAACCATTTAGAGACTGTCTGGAGATTCAGCCCTGGTCTTCCTGCCTACTCCCGAACTTGCACTGTGGACTTTTCGGTGAGTCAAGGTGCTGTGGCTGGGAACTGGTGTATAGGACTGTTAGTTCTTAGCCTCAAGTCAATTCAGCAAGCATTTTTATTTACTTAACGTGCCAGGTACTGTGCTAAGTTCTAGCTACCACCTAGGCCAAAGGTGTCAAACTCTGTGGCTGCCCAGCCCTCAACAAAACTCCCCAGTGCAAGCTGAATCAGATTAAAATCTAATTGGGAAATATTTAACAAAATAAGTGCAACAGTTTTCTAAATCAATGTGGACATCAGGGATTTTGTTTCTTTTAGTGCTGGGCCTGGAGTCACGACTTAAGTTCAGATCCAGCTTCAGATACTAACTAGCTGTGTGACCCTAGGAAAGTCATTTAACTCATTTGCCTGTTTCCTCACCTGTAAATTGGGGGACAATAGCACCTCCTTCCCAGGGTTGTCCTGAGGATCACATGAGATAATTGCAAAGCTCCTGACAGTGCCTGGTACGTACAGTAAACTATATAAACATTAGCTACTGATGGCATGCTTCCTAAGGGCCTACCCCATGATTGAAGTCACACTTTTGTTCTACCTACTGCATAGTTTTTGTTTTTTTAATTTTTTTAGTGATGCAATTGACGTTAAGTGACTTGTCCAGAGTCACACAGCTAGGAAGTATTTATTATGTGCCTGAGGCTGGATTTGAACTCAGGTCCTCCTGACACCAGGGCCAGTGCTCTATCCACTGTGCCACCTAGCTGCCCCCCATAGTTTATTTCTGAATGGTCACTGTGTACTTTGAATTAAAAGCTATGAAGAACAGCATCATTGAATTTGTTCAGGGAAGTTATCCATGCTAAAGTGAGGGTTTGTCTCTTTTTGTCCCCATCCCCAGGTTTCCTTTGAGTTTCGATCATTGCTTCATTCTCAGCTGGCTACCATGTTCTTCGATGAGGTTGTTAAACAGAATGTTGCTGCCTTTGAGCGCCGAGCAGCCACCAAGTTTGGTCCAGAGACAGCCATCCCCCGTGAACTCATGTTCCATGAGGTGCACCATATTTGAGACCAGCTCCATAACTTATTTATTTGGTTTGATCCAAGCTCCATTCCCTGGGGCAAGTCTTGTTTATGTCCGCCTCCCTGCCCCCCTGCCCCCCTGCCCAATAGTTCTGGCTCTCCAGGGAGAGAGAACTCAGGAATCTGGAGTGAACTTCTCAATTAGCAGATGCTGAGGGGTAAGGGAGATCCCTAGGAGTTGGCCAGCCTGACTCCAGGAACTGAACTTTACATGCCTGTCTCCTTCTGGAAACTGAACTCAGAATTGCTGGGATTTTTTATCTTTGGCCATGTCTTGTGAGTTAGGACTCTATTCTTGGTCTAACTTATGGTGCCTCAGTGTCTCTGGAAGGGTAAAGCAGTCCCAAGTCTCCAGTGAAGCCATATTACACTGTTCCCCTCTCTCGTTAAGGAGCTAAGGGGATAGAGGCAGTTCTTATTGTCTTGATAAAGAAGCCTTATGAGGGAAAAGTAACTTCCATTTTGGAATCCAGGTATCTGAACTTCTATCTAAAGTCTGCTTTCCAAAAAAGGAAAATTTCCCCCTCCTGGCTAATATATGTAGGATGTCAGAGGAGTTTTTTCCCCCTACCAGGGTGGAGGGGAGGCTTTGAGTAAAGCTGCACTTCTAGCCTGTACCTTTCTTCCACCTGGGCTGAGTGTTTGGATGAAGAGCCAATAAACCAGTTGTGTGGATTTGGTTTTGTAGTGCTTCTTAGGTAAGGAATACAAGGCAGGAAAAAGGTAGCCCTGTACTACAGTGTCTCTGGACACACTGTCCCTGCTAACTATAGCCCCGCATTCCCCTGGCTGGGCCCACTCTTCACTATTTATAGCCTCTCTTCAGAAGGTCAATTGTAGCAGGAACCTAGTGGGGGAAGGGGTTGGGAGGTAGCGGCACAAGGGAGAAGGGATCCAGACCAGGGACCAAGCCTGGTCTCAGAGGTGCTGGGAACAAGAGCCATTATAACGTTTTTTGGTGCGATGGCCTCTCTGCCGTTAGGGTAAAGAATCCTATGGACACTCTTAGAATTATGTCTTTAAATGCAAAAAAAAAAGATACATGTGAGTGCAAAGGAAAACCAATTATAGTGAAGTCAAGTTATCAAAATACTAAAGAAAAGTTCACCACTGGGAAACAGGAAGACCTGGGCCAACACTATCTTGCTCTCCGAACCCATTTCCTATCAAAATAGTGATAATTTCTAGCACTAATAACCTCACAAGAAGTGGCTCAAAGGAGTTAATTTAAAGCACTATGTGTGTCATGTCCTCCTAGTTTGTGAAGGTTATTGCCACCTAAGCCCTGGCCTACTCCACCCTCCTCCCCCATCCTCCCAAGAGATACCTGTAGTGTAGACTGTAGCCATTTTCTGGCAAGAGGGCAGAATTGTCAGCCCTCACCCCCAAGGTCATGCTTTAACTCCTTTCACCCACTGAGCTTCGTGGTAAAAAGGGAAGGAAGTAAAGGTAGGGAGTTACTGTCCAACAGACTTCATAGACCTCCCCACCCAAGCTAGTAGTTATACTATCAATATCCATCAGCTGAAAAAACATGGATTATGGATTCCTTTCCAAAAATCCATGGTGTCTTCTCCAAAGAGTCCAAGGCTGCCAACAAGTTGGAAATTACTGGTCTAAGAGTTCTGATACTTGAAGAAAGATAAGGAAACTATTGAATCAGGCATTTCGAAGCCTTTGGCCTTTTATCTCTATGGCTTATATGACATCAAGACCCAGATTTGTTAATAAAAACATTTATTTTGTGTTTTATACAGAACAACCTGAAGTCTGCAACAGGACTCTCGACAATTACCCAGGGGTTCATAGACAATGTGTCCATCTCCACAGCTTGGTTCTAGGGACAGGGGATCCACACAAATACAGGCAGGATTGGAGGGGTTGGATGAAGGGGACACAGTGAGAGGAGTGTATTTCAGTCCTTTCTCAAAGAAGAGGCAGCAGAGCATTCTGAACCACTGAAAGACCTGTGCAAATGGGGCTCTAAACAATGAACCACATGGCGGGGAGGTAGGGGGGAGGTTAAGGGTTGGGAGGGGAGCTGGAAGGAGATGATGACTTGGATGAACAAGTTTGTTTTTGTGTGCATGGGGGGAAGTTGTGGTTATTTATATTAATAATGCCCTAAACCCTGGGGTCTAATACAGGATCAAATCTGTTCAAGTAATTTTCACCTCCAAGTTTTAAAAAGAAAAGATTATCCCTGTGGGCATATCATAAAGACAGCATGCTAGGCCATTTGCAGGCCCCTGCTCTTTAGAGTACATATGGAAAAAGTGGATAGAGGTTTGTGGCCTGATCTGTCTATTTGGATATGAACAGAGTTCACAGTAAACATGGGGTGGGGGGGGTGCAGACAGAGAGGCTTCGACAGAGGAAGAGGCCTAAACCAGTGGTATGTACAAAATGAAGGATAAGAGAAGTCCCCAATATGTTAAGTCCAAAGCTCTTTTAGCCCAGGGTAGCAAGTACATAAAGTCTGCATGATGGTAGTTTCTTTAAAATAGTAAAAGGTACCCAAGACTTCATCTTTTAAAGGTGAAATAAACAAAAAAGTCCAAATCTTAACAAATGCCATCGTCTCTGTTCAAATGGTAGCAGATGCCAAAATGTCCCAACGATTAACAGCTCAGCCATGTATGTGTGTGTGTGTGCGCGCGCACGTGCGCATTATTGGGGGGGGGAGAGGCAGCAGAGCAGGTTGTAATGTGTTTGGGGTTGATACTGAGACTCCAACATGATTCCTATGGAAAAGTGATTTGGGGGTCAGAGTTCTGGTTTTTGGCCTACTGGTGAGGAGATGTTTGGTTGGGTGTGGGAGTAGGCTAAGTAAAACAAAACCCTACATCTCCAAAGTAAAGAAGTGAATGCAGATTCCCTGTAACCAGCAATGACCCTGTTGGGGTGGGGCATACACTAGGCTTCCACTCTAGATGAGGCAGGGGACCTGTCCTGACCCGTATCTGTATTAGTCTAATTCAATCTATAATCAATGGACAACTCCTATACTGGGCAGGGGAGAGGGACTAGTTAGAGGAGATAGTCTCATCTCTGTCTTTTTTTAACTCTTAATTTACACTTTAAATAATCTCAAACTTAGTGTCAGTGCCTCAAATATAATTTAATCCTAAAAGTCTTTAAAGGCCCCCTGAAACAAAAACAAAGAAGTATGTCCTGTCTCTCTTAAAAGTCTCCTCACTCTAGCAGGCATTCTCTTCCCTCTTCCTGCCCAGTCCCCATCTTTACCCTGACTTTGAGCTTACAAACTGCATCAAGCCATCTGTGCTCATAGACTTGGGCCTCTCTAGAGGGAAACCCAGAGCTCTGCTCCAAATGAGCTGTGCCAGCACCCCCAATGCCCTTGAAACTCCAAAGAGAACCGTGTAGTAATTCATCTCTGTCATGCCGTAATACTGCAGGGTAGAAAAAGAAAAAAAGAAAAGGATTTAGGATGAGGGGTAAGGATGGCAATGAACTGAAAGTGGGATTTGGTGACTGTGATCCAGGGTTTCTGTTTTCCTCATAGCAGGCACTGGATTAAGTGGCTCAGAGCTGGGATAGAGCTGGGAGAGCCAAGACAACTTGAAAACTAGAAGGGAAACACTTGCCATGGACATGTTACAAAGACTTTGAGAAGTGTGTGAAAGAGAATTGGGGAAACAGCCTGGAGAATTTGCTTTTGGAGTGGTCAAACGTTTGATTTGTTAGTAGGGCTTTTGATGTGGCTGGCCAGCCAGCCATGGCAAGCAGATCAGGGAGGAAGAGAAACAGAAGGTAGGAGGTCCTTACCTGCAGAAGCACCCCACTGTGGGCATCTACATTGGGCCAAGGGTTCTTGGCTTTGCCCTGCTCCAAAAGGACATCAGGTACAATCTTGTAGAGTTGAGCCACCAGTTTAAACATGGGATCACTAGGCAGATGTTTCAGAGCAAATTCCCGCTGACAGGTATATCGTGGATCAGTTTTTCTTAGTACAGCATGGCCATAGCCAGGAACCACCTAGAAGGGTGTGAAAGCTAATCTGTACTTCTAGAGAACTCCCATTCCCTTCCTCAATATGGGCAATGAGAAATCAATGATCTAATGAGAAGTTTAGGCAGACTCCCAACTCTCTTGTCCCAGATGCCAGGGAAGGCTGGAATTTATTCTCTTCTCCTACCCAACTCTTCTCATCTAGGAAGTCTGGATCTGATATTCCTCTCATCCCACCATTATCATGCTTTGCTTACCCTGCCTGAGTTGAGTGTGCTCCAGATGTAGTCACGCAGTTTTTCATCAGACACATCTTTGCCAACTTCTTTCTGCAACTTCGTCAGCCAGACGAGTACTTCCTGTGGATAATGTGGCAGGGGGAGGAGGTGAACACATAGGTTAGAAGAAGACAGTTGGAGGACCAGGAATGGCAAGAGCTGAAAATACAAGGGCAAGGAGCCAAAAGAGTTGGCTATTACCTGATTGGCTAGTCCATGGAGGGGCCCAGCCAGTCCATTCATGGCAGCTGCAAAGGACAGATAGGGATCTGAAAGAGCACTGCCCACCAAATGGCTAGTGTGGGCACTTACATTGCCACCCTCGTGGTCACTGGAGGAAATAAGAAAAATCAGGTCAGTTATCCATATATACCTGTGTACAGAGGATGGGGGTGTTGGCAAAGAACGAAGGCAGAAGACTAGAAACAATGACTTTGTTGCCTTCCAACATAGCTCTTGTTCTTGGAGTAGCTATTTTGATTCCCTCCCTTGACCTTTTTATAATAACCACTATAATCCCTGGATCCAAGTTTTACGTTTATTCTTGCCCACAGCTCTTTCCCTGAAGTAATAAGTGAATTTTGGAGTGACTTTTCCCAAAATTTTCCAAATATCCAGATACTTGGTACCCAAGTCTGGCTCACCTGTGGATTGTGAGGTATAAGCGCATGAGCTCAGTGAACTGGGCATCACTGTAGCCCAACATGCTGGTGAAGTTTTGAGACCAGTCAAGTTTGGTGTCTATAGCCCCAATGCTGCTGCCTTCACGATACAGATTCCGATAGATCTTTGCTGCAACACAAGGTAGCTTGGCGATGAGATCCATGCAGTCCTCATAAATCAGCTTGGGAAGGGGAGGGTGAAGAAAAGGAAAAGGAGGTATTAACTTCAGAGAGCTGGATAAAAAGAAATGACATCTTATGCCATAATTGTTCTCCACAATTATATCTATGGGATGCTCAGATTATTATTGCATCAATGGTGTTTGTTGAGTGTGTTAAAACGTTGCCTGATATACCAAGCTCCTTTTCTGAACTACAGTATTCATACTATTTAAAATACTTGTTATCTAGTTGTTTCATGATAGTCTTGTCTCATCGAGATTTTAAGGCTGGGACACAAAGAAGGTACTCAATGACTTGTGGTTTGATTTCAAAATGATAATTCAATACAGCTTAATTTAAATGCTAAAGAATAAGACATGCCTAAATAAACAAATCTCTATGATAATGTCTACCATTCATTAACCCACTATCAGGTCCCACCCAGGATTGGTTCAGAGAGAGTGTGGCTGAAATTAAAAACTTACTTGAGGAAAAAAAATCAGAAATACTTAGCTGATTTCTTGCAAGTTCTCAAGGAAGACAAATACTTAAGAGTATTATCCTGAGATCAGGATATTCACCTCTAGCTAAGAAACACCCATGAGTCAAAGACTGGGTTTAGGCAAATCTATAGAACACAAGATTCATGCACAGAACCCCACCCACCCCTTATCCCCTCTGCCAAAAAGCCTTGCAAAGAATAAATGATCACTTTCATCATAAAGAATATGTACAGAAAGGACAATTACTAATCAACATTTCCATCATTTCTAAAGATACCAATTAAGAGAAAATGCCCTGTTACCACTTGTCAAAAAGCAAAAATGGTAAATCTTTTAAAAGGGGAGATGATACTTGCACTTAACGATATGATCTTTATTACATATCAGATACACAGCAAGAACACCCTTATACTATATTCAAAGATCTTACAAAAGGTGGTAACATTAACTGGTGCTGTGTGAATAGGTACTAAGCAAATCTGGCTATATGGGTAAATTCATCAACTTCCAAGCTATACCAGGCTGACCAAGTTGAGTATTCAGGAGTATTCTAACTTATTTCCTATCATTAGAGTGAAGGTGAGTTACATATTTATGCAGTTTTATTCTGTATCCTGATAAAGGAACAAAGCTAGTATTTTTTTTTAATACAGGTGATATAACAAGTTTGAAATGTCACTGAAACTCTAAACAAATAGAAAGGGTCACATCATAGATTGGAGGAAAATGGATGGAGGCCCCTCTCTTACATTTAGAGAGGGGAGAATTCTTAACTGATGCAGATCTATTAAGAGGTTAGAGGAAGTCACAAAAAAACAAAACAATTTCAACTACATGCAACTGAAAGTTTTGCAGAAAACGGTATCAATATTTTTAGGATAAGAGACTGGGGAAAATTTTTGCATTAAATATCTGATAAGCATCCAATATATAAGATATATAGGAAATCAGTGAAAGATTACAAAAAGTGAAATGGTTAATGTTAGAGGGGCTTGGGGCAGCTAGGTGGCCCAGTGGATAGAGCACTGGTCCTGGAGTCAGGAGGACCTGAGTTCAAATTTGGCCTCAGACACTAGCTATGTGACTCTGGGCAACTCACTTAACCCCAATTGCCTCACAAAAAGAAAAAAAAAACAGTTCATAGTTTAGAACAATTCAAGAAATACAAAAAAAAAGAAAAAT